TTAAAGACCTGAAATATTTCAGTTGGTGTGCAATGAATCTGAAATATATGAAAGTTTCATTTTTATCATTACATTATGGAAAATAATGACCTTTATCACAATATGCTAATTTTTTGAGAAGGACCTGTATATTTTTGTGTTGTGTTGGTTAAAAAAAAAGCTTGAACACAAACATCAAATCTTCTTTGAAACAGTGTTTTCAGATAAATGTTGAAAACCTGGACTGTAGCACTTGAAGCATGATTCATACAGGATATATAAAATATTTGACCTCCACAGGATTTAACTATTTTTAGAACTTAAAAAAAAAGTTTTTTATTTTTAATTAATTGTGGGTTTGTTTTTGTGCTGTGGGTTACCATTGTGTTCAACTGTCCTACAATACTGTTTGAAATCATGCAGAAGTTGTCACTGTGTTTGTATCTGCAGCTGCTCAGTCTTAGGGACAATAAAACAACCCCAAACCATTCCATTTCCACCACCATGCATTGCAGTTTATTTGTATTTTTATCTTTAAACTCAAGTTTAGTTCCCAACAAACAAGGCTGCTTATAAAACATTATTTTTAATCAGTTTACCAAGAAACTATTATTTAGAAAGCTTGGCTTTTGCTCATATTCTCATTGGAAAACTTTTATTTTTATGTTCTTTTTTGCGTACTACACCTCTCATTAAGGTCACATTTGGTTAATTTCTGACAAATTGTTTGCAGTTGTACTTAAACACTAACTGTTTGAGGAGCTACCTGCAGGTCTTGTGATAGCATTTTCAGGTTCTGTGAGATCTTATTTTGTTTCAGTCACTACTGGAAGAGAGGCGTGGTTCACTTTTGACAGACAAGCAGTCCTTCATAGGGCTAACAAAACGAGACAGAAAAATATGCTTTATTGTTCATATATGTTGTGAATTTAAATTCAGAAATTACCCTAACATGCATATATTTAGATTGTAGGGGGATACTTTCTCCAAAAAAAAAGTTTATGAGTCATTTGTTTGAATTTAGGACTTCTATCTGGAGACAATATAACATTTATGTTCAGGTTGCCTGCATTTACACAATGCAGGCCTTTCTCTCCTTTTATTTATTTTAATGTGTTTACCTTTAAGAGTTTTTATTTATATGAAATGGCAGACAGAACACATTTTTTTCTAAATATACAGGGATAAAATAATGATTCTTCTAATCTTCTAGCTTAATTGACAATATTTTGTTATATTCCACCAAAACAGTGTATGACACTTCAAACACCTGAAACCAGACGTATTTCTGGAGAAAATCTGCGCTCTAAATACCAACTTTAGGACATTTTTTATATACTTTGTTAATTATAGTTGTAGTGTAGTTTAATGTCATCGCCTAGCTGAATTTAATTGATGTAATGTTATTTCTGGTTCTTGTGTCATTTGTGATGGGTAAGCAGGATTCAAACACTTTGTCAAATGAGCTGTGTATATTGTGTTTGCTCAGGAGTTACGTATTCAGGGCCCAGACTCAAGAAATTAAGGAAAGAGGAGGAAATCAGAGCACGGGTATTGATTTCTTCATCACACAGGAGAGAGTCATCTTCTTGGATACACAGGTAAGACGTTTTCCTGTCAGTTTTATTTGGTCAAGTCTGTTCACTTGGCAGTCAGATTAAGGTGTTTAAATACCTTCTGTTTATTTTCAGCCCATGCTTAGTCCATCTATCCTAGATCACGTAATCAACAACGATCGAAAGTTGCCTCCGGAGTACAACCTTCCTCATACTTATGTGGAAATGCAGGTAGGTGTCTGACCTGCAGAGGGCAGTGTGCAATATCAAAAATGGAGCAGAACTCCGCTTAATGAAAGCCATACCATTCTTTGCACACAAACATTCATGTTTTCACTTTCTAATCTCCCAACAGTCTCTTCAGATCACTGCCTTCCTGTTTACAGTGTGCCATGTAGTGATAGTGGTGCAGGACTGGTTCACCGACTCGAACCTTTACAGGTAACGTTCATTTGTAATAGATTTGTCCAAACCCACAGGACAAAAACAAAAGTTAGCCTCAGAAGGGCTCTGACTTCAGCCAGACTGTCCCTTTCTTCTACAAGAATGTCAAGTATTTCATTTGATATCTGTAGAGGATTTCCCTTGTTCATAAGCTCAAACGTTTGATTCTTTCAGTTGGTCTTGTAAACAAAACATATGAACAAAGCCAGACCAGGTTGGATTTACTGGCTTATGTTCCAGTCTAACATGTGCTGATGTTAGATCCAGCTTCAGTTCAACAACCTGCCCAGGAATCTGTATTTGCTCTGAAATACATGAATTTAGTTATTCACTTTCCCGACACTTTTCTTTGGTCACTAAAGTCAGTTCTAGTTTGCAAAACTGGGATTAGAAGTCAATTTTACCAACTGTGCGCAAATTAAAATGATTAAACTGTTATGTTGTTTAGCAGGACATTTGAAGTATAAAGTTTCAGCTCAAACTTGAAGTTTCTGTGATGTTTATGGTTATTCTGCTGCCACTTAATACTGAACCACAGAGTAAAAACATAAGGGAACAAAGACAAAAGTCGTACAAGTATTGGAGGACCTCTTGATTGCTGGGACCATGTGTGATCTCAAACTACAAAACCGGATTCCAAAAAAGTTGGGACACTAAACAAATTGTGAATAAAAACTGAATGCAATGATGTGGAGGTGCCAACATCTAATATTTTATTCAGAATAGAACACAAATCACAGATCAAAAGTTTAAACTGAGAGAATGTATCATTTTAAGGGAAAAATCTGTTGTTTCCAAATTTCATGGCGTCAACAAATCCCCAAAAAGTTGGGACAAATCCATTTTTACCACTGTGTGGCATCCCCCCTTCTTCTTACAACACTCAACAGACGTCTGGGGACAGAGGAGACCAATTTCTCAAGTTTAGAAATAGGAATGCTCTCCCATTCATGTCTAATACAGGCCTCTAACTGTTCAATCGTCTTGGGCCTTCTCTGTCGCACCTTCCTCTTTATGATTTGCCAAATGTTCTCTATAGGTGAAAGATCTGGACTGCAGGCTGGCTATTTCAGTATCCGGATCCTTCTCCTACGTAGCCATGATGTTTTGACTGCTGCAGAATGTGGTCTGGCATTATCGTGTTGTAAAATGCAGGGTCTTCCCTGAAAGAGATGACGTCTAGATGGGAGCATATGTTGTTCTAGAACCTGAACATAGTTCTCTGCATTAATGGTGCCTTTCCAGACATGCAAGCTGCCCGTGCCACAAGTGCTCATGCAACCCCATACCATCAGTGATGCAGGCTTCTGAACGGAGCATTGATAACAACTTGGGCTATCCTTGTCCTCTCTGGTCCGGATGACATGGCATCCCAGTGTTCCATAAAGAACTTCAAATCGTGACTCATCTGACCACAGAACAGTATTCCATTTTGCCACACTCCATTTTAAATGACCCCTGGCCCAGTGCAAACATCTGAGCTTGTGGAGCTTGCTTAGAAATGGCTTCCTCTTTGCACTGTAGAGTTTCAGCTGGCAACGGCGGATGGCACAGTGGATTGTGTTCACTGACAATGCTTTCTGGAAGTATTCCTGAGCCCATTCTGTTATTTCCTTGACAGTGGCATTCCTGTTTGAGGTGCAGTGACGTTTAAGGGCACGGAGATCACGAGCATCCAGTAGTTTTACAGCCTTGACCCTTACGTACAGCGATTGATCCAGATTCTCTGAATCTTTTGATGATGTTATGCACGGTTGATGACGATAACTTTAAAGTCTTTGCTATTTTACGCTGGGTAACACCATTCTGGTATTGCTGCACTATCTTTCTGTGCAACAATGGTGGAATTGGTGATCCTCTTACCATCTTGGCTTCTGAGAGACACTGACACTCTGAGAAGCTCTTTTTATACCCAATCATGTTGTCAGTTGACCTAATTAGTGTTAATTGGTCTTCCAGCTGTTTGTTATATGCTCAATTTCCTTTTTCCAGCCACTTATTGCTACTTGTCC